TCGAGTAATTTGAGCAACGCTGGTCGGTGAGGACGCTTGCTCCAACGCGTGTCAGCCTCCACGCCCTGAAAACTTCGCAGAGCAGCATCGTTCAACGCGAAGTAGTCGATGGTCGACACTCCTGTTCCACCGCGGCATGTGACCTGCTTCGGTACTGCCATGGTGATGTTGACCAACCTTGGGAAACCTGAGCTCTCGAGTTCAGCCACAGACATGTTCCAGTCAGCACCAGCAATGAAAGGACCCTGGATCTGAGTGAATAGAAGTCCCATACGAGAAAGAATGTCGCTGTTCACCCCCGTCACGCCGATGCCATCCTTGAGGTATTCATTGATCACATGCAAAGGCGGCCAGCCTGGCATATCGATAAGCACTTGCTGGCAGCGATGAGGGAAGACCACGTGGTCGTGGTGGACAGGTGCCCTGAGCCCAAGGTCATTGCGAACCAAAACGGCAACTCCAGCAGAGCAGGCGTTGCGAACTGTGCTTGCTCGACTGGGACGACTGGGGACTGCCATCATCTTCCATCCTCGAGCATGCGTCCGTGAGAACATAGATTCCAGATCGCCTTCGCAAAACCTTATCTCCTGCAGCAGAAGGATGCGGGCGGAGGACTTCTGAATCTTCTCTTTCACCGTCTGCTTGCCGCCGTGCCGTTGAAGCACTCCACGGCGTAGTGACCAGGAGTCGGAGCATGATGTGGCGACTTCGTCTTTCCTTGGGCAATCGGCAGTCCAGAAACACGTATAGGTGCGTATCCTCTCTGCCCCAGCGCAGACGTCCATCGCACGGGGCCATCAGGAACAACGTTGCTTCTTCGCAAGTTCCTTGAAGGCCCCTTGAAAGCTGGAGAAATCATCGGCTTTGCCATGCTCGAAGAGATCCTTGAGCTCTGCTTCAGATAGCTCGTCGCACGCTCTCTTGAAGGCGGAGTCGGATGCGCGAGCACCGTGAGAGTCAGGAGGCACCTCATCATGATCAGCGGGAGTAGCAGAAGGGCCCTTCTGTGTAGCGGCCTCACCTGCCTTGATCTTCTGCATGATGACCTCCTTGAGTGAAGAACCACATGTCGGAGTCGAGGAAGGTCTTGAGCTCTTCCGTCTGAACATCCTCAGCGGAGACGGAGATGTCGAACTCGGTCTCCATGGCGTCGGCGCCCTTGTCGGCTGCGATCGCGGCCGCCGACTGCTTGTGCTCCGCCTCGAGCGCTGTGACCTCAGCCTGCTTTGCTGTCAGGTGGGCCCTGCGCGCTTCGACCGACTCTCGGAGCTCCTTGAGTTGCTTCTCTTTGTCAGCGAGCTCCTTCTCGAGGCGGTCCCTTTGGATCTTGGCCTTGTGCAGGTCCTGAGCAACCCTGCGGTAGGCGATCTCTGACGTGCGTAAGGACTTCTGCCGTTCCTTGATCTCACGCGCCTTCTCGATGGAGGCCTGCCTGACAGGATCATCTGGATCGTTGCCAGGAAGGATATTGAGGATGCTTTCGTACGTCGACAGCTGCGCCGCCAGCTTCTCACGCTTGGTTTTGTCATCGTCATCATCAGTGATCGGTTCCTTGTTGGCTGTCGCTGCCGGTGGTGGAGCACTCCACGGCGGCGGCTTGGCAGGATTCGGGCTGCTCCCGACGGTAAGTGTCCGCGGCATCTTCTCCAGCTCAGCCAACTTCTTGGATGTCGCATCACTTTTGTCATTCGTATCCTTCTTGTTGCCCTTCTGCGGGGGAATCTCGCCGTTGACGATCGCATAGTGATGTTCCCAGGCGGGCTTCCTGATCCGCATCGGAGCTTCATTCCCGCACTGGCAGCGGATCCGCGATGCCCAGTTCGCCGAGGCAGCACATCGTCCGCAACCCCATGTTGGCCGCCTCGGCCCACGGAGCACCGCAGGATGAGGCGGGGAAGGCACCATGGCGGCGCCTTGGTCGTTGGTTACTCCTCTGCCTCCAGTCGGAGGCGAAATCGTGAACAAGCCAAAAGGCTCGCTGCAGCGTCGCCGTTCTGAATCCAGCTGCAGCAAGCACAAACCTGCGCCAGAACGGCTGGAGGAGGAGGAGGAGGAGGAGGAGGAGGAAGAGGAGGAGGAGGAGGAGGAGGAGGAGGGGGAGGAGGAGGAAGAGGAGGAGGAAGAGGAGGAGGAGGAGGAGGTGGAATGGGAGGAGGCCTTACGAGCAATCCCTCCATCGGGTGCAGGACTGTGCTGAAGGCTGCCAGGTGGTTTGCGCAGGTGGCCCCCCAGCCGCGCAACCTGGCGGCGTCGCCAGGCACGGCCGAGGGACGTTCGCGTCGGGTGTGCCGTGGGGCCGTCTCTGAGACCTTCCAAGCCCAGCGCAAAGACCTGTGGACAAAAACACCCGTGTGTGTGTGTGTTTTTCCATTGAGCTGTGTGTGTGTGTATGTGATCCAGGTCCGGGTCCACCCCCCCACCATGTTGATGGCATTGCCCCGCCCCCCAGATGAGTCACCCCTCCCTGAGGGTGTGGTGTGTTGCTGTCGGTATGGCGTGTGGGGCGTGGTAATGTGGCGCTCCAGGAGAGCTCTGGAGGTCGTCGTCGTCGCCGCCGCCGCCGCCGTCGTCGTCGGAGGGCTCCAAAGGTCGGCGGCGCCGCCGCCGCCGCCGCCGTCGTCGTCGTCGTCGTCGCCGTCGTCGTCGTCTTCGCCGTCGTCGTCGTTGTCGCCGTCGTCGCCGCCGTTATCGTCGTCGTCGTCGTCGTCGTCCTCCCCATCCCATCTGGGGGGGTGGGCGTGGAGTCTTGGGACCCATCCGTGGGCCCTCGACCCAGATTTTTTGTTCGTTTTTGTTTTTTGTTTTTCCCTACATAGGCTCTGCCTAGAAGGGTTCTTACTCTCTTAGCTTAAAGGGCCGGGCAGTGCTAACCGCCCTGGGCGGTTCCCCCAGTCCCCGCCCCGCGGTTCCCCCAGTCCCTTGAGAGCTTTAGCTGTAGCTTTAGCTTTAACTTTAGCTTAGCTTTAGCTTAGCTGTAGCTTAGCTTCAGCTTAGCTTTAGCTTAGCTTTAGCTTAGCTTTAGCTTAGCTTTAGCTTAGCTTCAGCTTAGCTTTAGCTTATCTTTATCTTGGCTTTAACTTAGCGGCACCTTAGCGTTAGCTTAGCTTTAGCTTAGGTTTAGCTTTAGCTTTAGCTTCGTTTTAGCTTAGCTTCAGCTTAGCTTTAGCTTAGCTTTAGCTTAGCTGTAGCTTAGCTTCAGCGTAGCTTCAACTTAGCTTTAGCTTGGCTGTACCTTAGCTTTAGCTTAGCTTTAGCTTAGCTTTAGCTTAGCTTCAGCTTAGCTTTAGCTTGGCCTTTACCGTAGCTTTAGCTTAGCTTTAGCTTATCTGCACCTTAGCTTTAGCTCAGGTTTAGCTTAGCGGTAGCTTAGCCTTAGCTTAGTGTTAGCTTAGCTTTAGCTTAGCTTTAGCTTAGCTTTAGCTTAGCTTCATCTTAGCTTTAGCTTACCTTGAGCTTAGCTTAGCTTAGCTTTAGCTTAGCTTTAGCTTAGCTTTAGCTTAGCTTTAGCTTTACTGTTCGTACTAATGCTGCTTTCCTAGGGGCTCCAACTCCTATGTAGGGTCGCACTGGGATAATTTGTTCCCTACCTAGGCTCTGCCTAAAAGGGTTCTTACTCTGTTAGCTTAAAGAGGCGGGGCAGTGCAACACGCCCCGGGCGGTTCCCCCAGTCCCTTGGGAGCTTTAGCTTTAGCTTTTAGCTTTAGCTTTAGCTTTAGCTTAGCTTTAGCTCAGCTTTAGCTTAGCTTTAGCTTGGCCTTTACCGTAGCTTTAGCTTAGCTTTAGCTTAGCTGTAGCTTAGATTTAACTTTAGCTTAGCTTTAGCTTAGCTTCAGCTTAGCTTTAGCTTAGCTTTAGCTTAGCTTTAGCCAGCTTTAGCTTAGCTTTAGTTTAGCGTTAGCTTAGCTTTAGCTTAGCTTCAGCTTAGCGTTAGCTTAGCGTTAGCTTAGCTTTATCTTAGATTTAGTTTAGCTTTAGCTTAGCTTTAGCTTTAGCTTTAGCTCAGCTTAAGCTTATAGTTAGCTTAGCTGTAGCTTATACTTAGCTTAGCGTTAGCTTAGCTTTAGCTTAGCTTTAGCTTAGCTTTAGCTTATCTTTAGCTTAGCTTTAGCTTAGCTTTAGCTTAGCCTTAGCTTTAGCATAGCTTTAGCTTAGCTTTAGCTTAGCTTTAGCTTAGCTTTAGCTTAGCTGTAGCTTAGCTGCAGCTTAGCTTTAGCTTAGCTTTACTGTTGCTACTAATGCTGCTTTCCTAGGGGCTCCAACTCCTAGGTAGGGTCGCACTGGGATATTTTGTATTGTTTTTGGTGTTAGAGTGGCGCGAAACTGCTGGAAGACCTTTTACAACCTCCGAGAACGGGGGTCGGACGGGCCCAGAGTCAAGAGCAATCCGTTCCAGAGCGTTCCGGATCGCTCTCGGAGCGTTCCCGAACGCTCTGAAACGGCCTCGGCGCCCGATGCGTTCCCCAACCGTTTCTCATAGATTTCCGATTTGTATCGGTGCGATTTTGCCTCGATTCTGCCTTCGTCCCATGACCTCTGGCATGTTCCGAAAGCGGGGGGAGGGCCAGGAAGCGTGCCGTGCCTCGAGTCGTTTCGCCCTCGAATTGTTTTCAAAAGCTGTCCGAGCTGCTTTTCGCACTGGATCCTCGTCCGCCTTCCTCGTTCTCCCTGCCGCCTCTTGACATTTCGCGCCTGTGGTCCCTTCTCGGAAGGTCGCTTCGCCCTCGAGTTACTTTTGATGGTTTTCGCCCGATTTCTTGAATTCGGTGGCAAATCATGGGAGCCTGGTAGACCCTCTCAGCGTCGAGTCTGGGAGTCGATGTGATTGCGCCGACTTAGCCGATGTGTTCATGCATACATGTACTCATAAATGCATCATGTATTAAAATCCTATTAAAAAACTATGTATTAAAAACTGCCCTGTATGTTTGTGTCATTGCTTGATTCCCTAGCTTCCACGCCTCCCCGTGCCCCTCCCGGCGTCGCCCCCCGGTGTGCCCCAGGGAGCGTGTCGCCGCCTCGGGGCCGCAGGGCTCGCGCGGCCGCGCCATGGCGGAGGCCCTGCCCCCCCCCCCCCCCCCCTCGCCCGCCCCTGCTCACGGGCACGCGGCGCAGTCGGGCCCGGGCAATGATCAGGAGGGAGAGAAACTTTGGGTCTGCGGGTCGGGAGCGGGCCCCTTCCGGTCAAGAGCTAAACGGGACGCGGGTAGCCCTAATTGGGGAGACACGGCGCGGGCGGGCGGGGCCTCAGGCGGCCTGAGGGCTCAGAAAACAGGCAGTGCCGAAGATCTTGCACAGGACAAGGTACGCAGAAGGGAGAGAAACACACAGACACCATTAATCGTCGACTCCCAAGAAAAAATATGGGAAACTATGGGAAGTGGGGGGGGAAGACGAACACCCAGAGAATATGGGAAGAGATGGGGGATCCTGTTATTTGTGTGTATGTATTTTGTGTGTCTCAGGGTCCCCTCATAATTATCAGATCGAGGTCGGTTCGGGGAGGGTGCACACTGGTCGTTCAGAGTAGGTATTTCTCAGAGGAGGAAGAGGTACCCATAATTACCTCTACCCTTTCCCCGTGTTCCCCTTCTGGGGCCTCCTCGGAGGCCCTCGCCGCCACCGCTGGATTCGCCTCGAAATTCTGGTCAGAACGCACCCCGGGAGAGGTCCGGGGAGTAGCGGTATCGATACCATTTGGTCTCCTACATTTCTGGATTTCCAGATATCCCAGTCGACTCTATCCACCTTCGTGCCTCAAGAGGCGAGCGGTAGTCCAGCGCCGTCCTGCTTCGCGTGCCTACCCGCTCTCTCCGACCGACGGGTCCCCCAACGGTCCTCGTGGTCGAGGGGTGCTCTCGCGCATCCTGCGCGGGAGGGTACGTACCCTCGAGTGCTCTTCCGCTCGGCCCGCGGAGGGCCCCGGAAACGGCAGGGCCGTTTCTTCACCGCTTCCCAAAAACATGTCCCTTGAAAACGGAAACGGCAACAAACAAAAACGGCTCCAGGATTGGAAGCGGAGCCGGAACCGGTCAAACAACGGCGACGGAACCGGTAAAACAACGGCGTCGGAACCGGCAACAAAACGGCACAACGGAGCCGGTAACAAAAACGGCCTTGTCGTTTCCAGGGCCCACTAAGCCCCGTGTTCTTGAAGGATGTTCTTCTGTAGCAGGTCGGGCCGCATGGAATGTCGCAGACGGGAAGCCGACATCACGTACATGTTCGACGCTTCGCGCGGGTTTCTTGGATCTGCGCTGCCCCCCCCTCGCCCCCCCCGGCCCCTGGCGGCGCCTCCAGCGCCGCCCCTGGCGCGATGCACGCGCCAGGAGGCGGCGGGGTGGGGGGCCAGCGCAGATAGATCCAAGGCATCCGCAGGAGAGGAGGAGGAGGAGGAGGGGGAGGAGGAGGGGGAGGGGGAGGGGAGGAGGAGGAGGAGGAGGAGGAGGAGGAGGAGGAGGAGGAGGAGGAGGAGGGAGGAGGGAGGAGGGAGGAGGAGGAGGGGGAGGGGAGGGGGAGAGGAGGAGAGGGAGGAGGAGGAGGAGGGAGGAGGAGGAGGAGGAGGAGGAGGAGGAGGAGGAGGAGGAGTCGACAGGTTGTGCTTGCGCAGATGTCTCTTCCTCTGGAGGGGCTGAGCGTGTCGCCGCCCCGAGGGGCCGAGGAGGAAAAGGCCCTTCTCGGAAGGCGGCGGGACTTCTCAGACGCCCCCTCGCGCCTCCCGAGAAGCTTTCGCGGTCTTCGGGGAAGGCGCAGGAAGCCTCTCGGAGGGCTTGGGGGCGGGACTTCTCAGAAGCCCTCGCGCCTCCTGAGAAGTGTTCGCGGTCTTCGGGGAAGGCGCAGGACACTTCTCGGAGGGCTGGAGGACGTCCTCGCTCCCCCCCCCCCCGCGCTCGCCGCCGAAGCCTGCCCACGGTGCAGCATCCAGCGAGCCCGAAGCGAGCCTCGAGCGAGCCTCGTCCCTGCGGGTCGCCCGCCGCGCGAGTGCCGGGTGGCGGGAGCGCCTGGGCGCGGGCCTGGGCAGAAGCGGGCGGGCGGTGACGCAGGCGTTTGGAGCTCGCCGCTGGGTCCACGCCGATCCGAAGGATCCATGCCGATCCGATTCTCCTCCTCCTCCCCCTCCTCCCCCTCCCCCCCTCCCCCTCCCCCTCCTCCTCCTCCTCCTCCTCCTCCTCCTCCTCCTCCTCCTCCTCCTCCTCTTCCCACTTCCGGGGAGCGAGGGGGGGGGAGGGGGGGGAAGTGAGAAGAAGAAGAAGAAGAAGAAGAAGACGGCCTTCTCGGAAGGCGGTGGGACTTCTCAGAAGCCCTCGCATCTTCGGGGAATGCTTAGAGTTGGGGCCCATGCGAAGAAACTGGCCTCCAGGGTGCCATGGGTTCTTGGGTTGCGATGGTTTGGTTCTGGAGAGCGTACGTTTCCCACACAGTGACGGTGATTCCTGGGAGGATGGAGCCTCGGAGCCCGATTGAGGCTTGTGTTTTGGATTGTCCTCGGGACCACACGCGATGACCACACCAAATGCCAGTTGACGTCCTGGGGTCTCATGGATGGGGTTCTCGTGGAAGATATCTCGTGGCCGGCCTCCCACTGTATCGTCTCTGGCCGCACCGACTCGATCCGTGTCCGATGGTCGGTCCATCCGGTGCGGCCCGATGTCTGCGTGGCGCTGTTTTGTCGCCGCCGGTGCGATGCGCTTCTTGCTTTGGGAGCCGATGCGGTCCGATTCGATGATGCACGTTCCGATGCGGTCCGATCTGCAGGTGCGGTGCTGGCTGTGCCCGGCGCTGGCTCCCGGCCAGCGGGAGGGAGAAAAGGGCACTCCTCGCCGCCGAGGCTGCACGCGGCTCGAAGCGCTGGTCAGGTTCGACCCTGGGGGGGGGCTTGGGGAACCGCCGTGGAGGGACGGAGCTCCATTGACGGCCCTTGTGGCAGCGCTCGCATGGCCCCCCCCCCATTTCGGCATAATTACCGCTTGCACGCTTCGTGGCCCCACAGGGGGCTCCACGGAAGGTAAACATACCCCGTTTTATCACTTCGAGGGACCGTTCTACCACTTACCTTAGAACTATTCTACCACTTACAAGTGGTCCAATACCACACGCACCCGTTCTACCACTTAGCCTGGGGACCCGTTCTACCACTTAGCCTTGGGGCCTGTTCAACCACTTAACCTGGGGGCCCGCTCTACCACTTAGCCTGGGGACCCGTTCTACCACTTTGCCAGGGGCCCGTCTGGAGGCCCGCTAGCCAAGGGGCCCGTTCTACCACTTAGCCTGGGGACCCGTTCTACCACTTAGCCAGGGGGGGCCCGCCTGGGGGCCGGCCCGCTAGCCAGGGGGCCCGTTCTACCACATAGCTAGGAGGGGCCCGTTCTACCACTCAGCCGGGGGGGCCCCCTTGTACCACTTAGCCAGCGGGCCAGGCGGCCCGCACCACCATTTAGCCAGGGGGGCCCGTTCCACCCCATTGGCCGAGGGGGTCCGTTCCACCCCGCCAGCCAGGGGGGGCCCTCCACCCTATCAGCCAGGGGGCAAGGGGGGGGGCCCCTTCAGCCAGGGAGAGGCCCCTAAACGGCCGGCTTTGGGATTTTAATCGTGATTGTTTCCCTCCAGCAGTACGTTCCTGCAGTGGGAGAACGGATAACATCGGAATTCAATTTCTATATCACCCAAGGAAATATTTAATGCAAGTTCACTCTTCGAGTGCGCCGAGGGGGCGCCTGCCTGGAAAGCGCCGGTGGCGGCTACTAAGCGCATGGGAAACGCTTGGGAAGCCGTTGAAAAGCGCCGGGGAAGCGCTTGCGGAGCGCTTGGGAAGCGCCTGGGAAGCGCTAGCGAAGTGACTTGGGAGCGCCTGGGAAACGCCTGGGAATTCCCTTGGAACCGCCTGGGAAGCTGGGAAGTGCTTGGGGAACGCTTGGGAACCGCTTGAGAAGCACCTGAGAAGCGCCGGGGAAGCTCCTGGGAAGGGAAGTGCCTGGAACGTGCCTGAGAAGCGCTTGGGAAACGCCTGGGAAGAGCCTGGGAAGCGCATGGGAAGTGCCTGGGAAGGGAAGTGCCTGGGAACCGCCTGGGAAGCGCTTGGGAAGCGCCTGGGAACCGCCTGGGAACCGCCTGGGAGCCGCTTGGGACGCACGTGGGAAGCGCCTGGGAACCGCTTGGGAGTCGCTTGGGACGCACCTGGGAAGCGCCTGGGAAAAAAAATCTCCCGTTCGATGTACGTAAGCGTATGACAGGTGTTGCGCGTTGCTCCCCCCCCCTGGGCAACAACAGCAACGTTTGGCCCAGGAGAGTGCGTTCGCCCTGTGGGCGAGGACACCACCACGGGACCCGCCGGGGTGGCCTGAGGGGTTGTCTTTGCATTATTGTTGTTCTTGTTGTTGTTGGTGGTGGTGAGACCGATCCTCCAGGCCGAGGAGCGCCCATGACCGTCATTGACCTGGACGGCCCCCGGGCCACTGCCCGCTCAAGCATGCGGGTGTGAGCAGCCTGGCGCGCGCGCGCAAGCAGGCGCGAGCGCATCCTTTGTGCCCGCCCTGCGGATCCGCCTGCTCGCCCGTGGGCGGTGGCGGGCTGGGTGGAGGGCGATGGCCGAAGGAGCGCTCTCAGAGCGGAGGAGCGAGGACTGGCGGGGGCTGGCGGGGAGGAGGGCGAGGAGGAGGATGGCGACGAGGGGGAGGGCGATGAGGGGGGATGGCGAGGAGGAAGAGGAGGAGGAGGAGGAGGAGGAGGAGGAGGAGGAGGGGAGGGGGAGATGAGGAGGAGTAAGAGGAGGAGCAGGGGACATGGAGGAGGAGGCGGAGGAGGGGAGGAGGAGGAGGAGGAGGAGGAGGAGGAGGAGGAGGAGGAGGAGGGGGAGGAGGAGGAGGAAGGGGAGCAGGAGGAGGAGAAGCAGAGCGAGGAGGGCGAGGAGAAGGAGGAAGAGGAGGAGGAGGAGGAGGTTCAGAGATTCAGGTCTCTCGCGAAGCGAGTTCAACTGATATTAACCGCCGACTGACTGCCCAGCCTTCCCCAACGCCTTGGGTGGGAGGCGTCGGCTGATGCGGTCGAGGTACTCCTTGCCC